TCCATATATATACATATAGTAACCTCTTACTTATTTAAGAAAAACAAAAGATAAGAGAGGAGGTCATCTCCCAAACCAAATAAATTATTGAAATATTTATAAATAATTTCTAAGAAAGTTGTTTACTTATAATTATAAACACTTTAAATGTTAAAAAATAGCTTTCTTTGAATACCTTTTTAAAAAATATTTTATAGAGTTTAGATTACAAAAAATTTATAGTTGAGTAGGGGAATTTTCTTCTAAAAAAGAAGATAGTGATAAATTCTCTTTCATTTAAAAGTTTTGATTTTATAATTCAATGCAAACCAAATTATAAAATTCTAAACTCAATACTTTTTTAAACCCTTAAAGAAAAACATACTTACTTGTAAACTAAATGGATCAAATACTTTCAAGGTATGAACATAATCCAATGTTATTGATTCCGTTTCATACTGATTGGCATGATCGATACATATTGGTTTTTTCATTAAGCCGAAATGGTTCAAAATTCAATTTTATTTTGATCAAATTCCATCAGTTTTGGTCAAATTTTGGTGTATTGACCAATATTTCGATGTCATTTTGGTGTACACCAAAAATTGGCTGGTGTAAATCAATTCAAATTTTAAAAAAGTAAATTTCATTTTTAGTCCTTAACTTTAATATTTTGCATAATTTTTATTCTTTAACTTTTTTATGCACTTTTTTAGTACATCAACTATGAAAAACGTATTTTTTTAGTCTTTCTATTAGTTACTCCATTAAATTTGTTTAAATATACACATTTTTAGTCCCTTAATTTAAAATGGAAGGATGAAAAATATACATATATTAGAAGTTGAAGGACTAAAAATGATAATTTTAAACTTGTTTTCAATTGATAGGAATATGATGGTTTTAAATATTAATTTCCCCTATTACTATTTTAAAATTTGATATTTAATTTATAAAAATATATATATATATTTATAATAATAAATCTGAAATGGTACACAAAAAAGTTCAAGTATTCGATACGTACTATTATAGTAGCAAAACTGATACATATGCCAGTACGGTATTGATAAAAATGTTCAAATCACACAAAAATATTGAAATTATGCTTAGTTTGGTTAATTTTACCAACTTATAATTGATTAAGCTGTTTGAAAATTTTAACTTATAAATTACTTTTAAACTATTAAATAATAAATATCAATTATTAACTATCATTTATTCATAATAGTTAAACTAAATACAAGGATAATGTTTTTGTGTCACCTTAATACTTATTTATACGTGCATAACCATGTCTACACTTTGCTTCTTCTTTTTTTTTTTTTTTTGTTTATTGTTTGATAATAAGAAAGAGTAATAATATTAATCAACTTAAAGTGTTGTTTCTTGAACATTTTCCTTCATCTCCACATTATGCTATTATTGTACCTTGATTATAAAATCAATAAAAATAATAATTAATGAACTTATCAAAAAAATATTGATAAGAAAATATCATCAAAATAAACAAAAAATTTACTTATTTTAAAGTGATTCATGCCTCTGTGGAGAGTAGATCTACTGGTGCAACAAAAGCATGCATAGCATGTCACCCCAAATATGTTATAACTTTATGATAACACTTTATAAATCTATACTACTTAGAGTCACTTAACTTAAGATACACATCTTTGCTCCATATTATTTAAAAGGTAAAGTCAGGTAAGAAATTAGAAAAATGTGAAGGAACTTATTTTTCATTGAGCAAAATTATGTCCTATTTATAAGATTCTTGATCTTATAACTTTTATTTGTAACTTAATTATAGGAATAAATTAAGTAATTATTATAAGATAATATGATTTTAAATAAAACAATTAATTTATAATAACTAATTTAACTTCTTAACATAACAATAAATTTAATTTATAAAACATATTATTTTTACTTTTTATTAAAATACTTAAGTTTCAACATAAAGTCTGAGGTAACAGACCCCTACATGATCGATAATACACAAAAAGTTTCACCTCTGATGGAGAGTTATACGAAATATAGAAGTGATGGGAGGCAAGAATGCCCCTTGTTCTAAGTGCATCACCAGCCATACTGCCCTCCCTCCGTTCATTCTTCACTTGAACATGTGGGAACATGCGCAAAACGTCCCTGCCATCCATAAGGTGTTATGAGGATGAAACAAAGTTAGGTGCACCAGAAAACAGTAAATATGCCGACACTTTGCTCGGCTACATAGTATGATGGAATGGTCATGTGTCCCACTGAAGTAGGATTAAAAGTCAAATCATATGGGTGGGTGGGATCTCATATATGTTGCTAGCAGCCGGCCCGCTAATTATTAGATTACGCGTGTAAAGGGTTTGCGAATCATACAACCCAATTGACGTACGCATGAGGATAATGTAACAAAAATTGCTTTCTTCGAAAGGTGTGACAGAAATGGACAACTCGGGAGAATATTAGAAAATTATAGTATCATTTTTTTTTTTTTTGATGTTGTGAATAAGAATAGAAAATTATAGGGCATGGGAAGTTACAAGCCTCCCTTGTACAAAAATGCCTAAGTAACTCTAAAAAAAAAAAAGAAAAAAAAAGGCCTTGCAAACTAAACTTCTGAAAAATTATTAATATGATTTATTAATTTTTTATTATTTTAATTTTGAATTTTCTATTTACTATTTTATATAATTCTAATTCACTTCTTCATCATTGTTTTATTTTACCCCTATTTTTTTTTAGCTCTACCACCACATGCAACCCTTATTAAGAAGGTATGTGTCATTGAATATTAAAGTAATTTTTTTTATCAATAATTATAAAATATATAGTATGAGTAAAATAAACTCTAAAGTAATTATCTCATTCTAAATTAAGTTTGACAGCTCGCTAACCTTATTATGATCACCTACGTGATTTAGCCACTTGGCTTAGTGGTGTGCACAACTTCTCCTTTGTAGCTTTGATCCCAAGAGATATTAATTTTTCTTTAAAGTAGCAAAAATTGTGATTGTGTTGTTTGTCTAAAAAGTCTTTTATTTTTTGGTTCGAATTGTATTAAATTATAATATATAGATAATTGAATGAGGAAAGCCCATCAATATTAAGGCATTGTGTGTCATCCGAAGCTCTCTATTGTATATATTATATTGCACAACAATTTCTCATTGCCTAAAAACATGCTCTTTCAAAGTTGGGTTTTTTTTTTATTAGTAAAATAAAATTTTATTATATGAAGTATAAAGGGTACTCTTGTCAATCTACAAAAATTAAAACCCACTATATCCAAAACAATGCCAACACAATAAACCAAAAAACTAGAAATCAAAAATCCCAATTTGAAAAACGGAATGCCACATATGAGCTTCCAACATCCCTAACTGCTGCGTTAGAATTCCCTCCAGTACCTGTTTGTAGCAACAGCAAAAGAAAAGAACCAACATACTCAGCCGATCGTTCAATTTCATGGACACCCCTGTCGGACTACCTGCTGCAGCTTCTTCACACGCTTAAAATTTTTGCAGTGCTGTATAATTGCGTTTCTCCACCCCACAGGCTTTAATATCCAATCCGTATAAGAAAACACACAACTTAATTCCTTATTTTTAAGCCATAAAAAAGATTTAACCTAAATAGATTCAAATAATTACACATTAGACAACACATCTATTCTAAACAAGTGCATATTCCTCCAATACTAGACAAACCAAGCAGTAACCAGAAAAATGAGAGTCCCTACATCTTTTGAACTTCCCCCACCTATACCATTTACCACCAACTCCACCAAACCAAAGATATTATTTGGAAGACACTCTATAAACTCCACCAACCCAAAACCTTCATCCATACTAACCATACCCCTCCTACACTCACAAAAAATATGATGAAGCTACTCTTCCCCTTCATGACAAAAAGCAAAACTAGCATCTACCCCCGACAAAACAATGCCTCTCTTACACAAATTTCCTTTGGTAGCTAATCTATCCAAAAATAATCTCCATCCAAAAAATGCTCAACTTGGGAGGAACATATTTATTCTAAATAACCTTAGCCGATCTCTCATAAAAAATACAAGATTTCGGTGTTAAAAACTCATACGCTGCCTTAACCGAATTAAAACCATCACTACTATACACCCATCTCCAAGAATCCACTCCATTCACCCTCACCTTTACTTCATTATGCATCTCCCGAAACTGTTCTTCTTCTCCAGCTGCCCTTCCTACGCATTCACATCTCCACTACATTCCCATACCTCTCATCTCTCCAAAAACCCATATCCTTCAGCATCCCCTTCCTATTCGTAGCCAATGCAAACAATCTAGGAAATAATTTTTTCAAAGGTTTATC